AGAGAGAGAGAGAGAGAGAGAGAGAGAGAGAGAGGGAAAGTCATCAACAGTTTTATTAGCAGATGTTGTTAGTGGCACTTGAGGAACATCCTTGGGCTCAGCGAATCATACAAATATGTCATCTTTCAAGCGCAAGTGGTTGGTTAAGCGCAGGTTGGAACGCATCAGGCGGGCCAATGCAGTCATGCGTTTTTACACTATTTCGTGTTACAGCAAGATTGTAAGGAATCACAGTAGCTAGAATTTGTAACATACTGGCTTCGAAATTCGGGACGTTAATTGTGCAGCTATGTGATGTGTCAGTTGTAGACGTCGGCTTCAATGACCCGACAAATGGAAATATGCTGGCGCGCGAGAAAGACCCCATTAGAAGAGTTGAATCTGAAATCTTTCAGTCGCACATGAGTAAGGAACATTCAATCAAAATTCCAGCCTTTCAGCACTTTCACACCCGAGCTGGCAATTCCCCCGCCAAAACTTTTGTGTTTCCACACGTAAGTTCCAGCCGGTTCTAAAGAGCTAAATTTGAAGTCCTTTACTCGTACATGAGTACTGAACATTACACTAAAGTTTCAGCCTCCCAGCTTTTCTCGTTCCCGAGTTAGCAATTTTTTTGCCAAAATTTTTGAGTGGCCGTACCTGAGCCTCGAGAGGCCCTAACCAGCTGGATTTGAAACCTTTTGGTAATCCGTGGGTAGGGAACATAACCCTAAAGTTTCAGCCTTTCAGCTTTTCTCGTTTTCGAGTTATCAATTTCCTGCCAAAATTTTTATGCGCTCACACGCGAGGCCCAGACGTGCGTGAGGGTTAGTATCGCGACCCTGGGGTGGCCCTTGGACAGGGAACCAACTGCAAAATTTTAGCGCTAGAGCTTGTTTGGTTGCCGAGTTGAAATACCTGGACAGACGAACACACACACACTTACACACACAGGCAAGGTCGTCGTAATATACGTTTTGCAGTTTAAATATAAGGAAAAACGCATAAAAGGGCGCCTGAGTTCATTTAATGACCTGTGAGCGATATGCGACAATGCGCGTAATTTAGAAACTAGTCTCCGAGTTATGACGTGTTTCTGGTCTGACTAGCAAGCGTAATTCGTAGTCGATGCAACTTTTTATCCTTTTTTATGCGTTTTTGCCTATATGCAAATTGCAAAAACGCATATTGGGACGACCCTGTCTG